GCATGCCGTAGGCGTGCGTGTGGTGGCAGCGCGGCGCCGCGCCGCCCGCCGCGCCCAGCGCCACCAGCGCCGCCAGCGCCGCCACCTGCAGCAGCAGCCGCTGCCGCAGGCAGGGCGACCAGCCCCAGCGCGCCATCGCCAGGCCGCGCCCACGGCAGCCACCCCCTGCAACGCAATGCTCCGGCTCAGGGAAATTGAAAGCATTCCAAAAACGTCCAAGAATTTACTAGCAATTACGCATCTTCAATTACGAATATGCAGAAGTAGCCACATAGCAACAATAGTAAGCAATTGTCAAGCATAAACATGAATCAAATGAATTTATTAATACTCCTGGAGGACAGCAATGTCAAACAGGTGAAAAAAATGTTTAAACAACGGTTTAGAGGTCGTCCATAAATTACGTAAGAAGACTGAGTTGAGTCAACGTTATGCTGAGTTACATACACGCAAGGGGGGTATTTGTTTACTATTACTTATTGTTTACTATTACTATTATTTAATTTTTACTGCAATCTTTCCTTTTTAAGTCTAATATTAAAATATTAATTATGTAATTAATTTGTTTGTTACAAAAACATAAATACATGAAAGCCATTAGATGTTACAGTAAATTAAAATATTTTTTCATTAATTTTTATTGAATCTGTAAGAATACAGAAAATATTCAAAATTGATATACAATATATTCTAGAATCAAATTAAATTGGCGCAGCAGAGTCTCGCCTATGCGTCATCTCCGATGGCGTGTGCACGGCTTGTGGTCAGAAATTTCCTCTCCTGTGCGTCCTTCACTCACAACATGCCCCCATTGTTACTGATAGGTGCAGTCAGCAACGCCAACTAATTTCGACTTTAATTATAATAAATTTTAATGTACAACGCAAATGACACGAATGCAAATGATGTTTACACTGCCATAATTAATCTTCACTTCTTGTATTTCCACTTAAAAGGGAGTGTTGTCGCGTGGCGAGCGTTACGGGGACAGGGTTGAAGCTCAGTTTCTGGTGCGTTGCAGCGGAGGAGAGAGGGTATTCGAAATACTCCAAATTTGCCTTACGTAATTTATGGACGGCCCCATAATGTTTTCGAGTAGGACCCCAGCTGCGCTGGTGCAACCGCTTCGCCGCAAGAGGGCTCCCGGAGTGAGGGTGCCCGAACATCCGCTGACGGAAAGGAATAGCACTACATGCTTTTTTCTCCACTTCGCCAGCCATACTCGCAATACCAACTGGATTTGAAATTCTGAATTTTAACGTATAGTAATTGCGATAGGGGCCCCATTTCGACTTCCTTCACCAGGCCTTCGAGAATGTCGCTGCACCTCTGCTTTAGAGTATTAACTCACTCAGTTGCACACTGCTCTTGCACTCGGTTGCACAACGCGAATAAATAAACAAAACGATGAATTTATTTTTTGTTATTTTTATAAACTATTTTTATATTATTATATATTAGTTCAGCTTTTAACATCACAATGACCATATTTTCAATTACAAACGTACCATGTCAAGATGTAAGTTTGTTTAAAGTAAACTAATATTCAAAATTACATATTAGGCAACTTTTGTGTCCATTAATAATAAGTTCAATTGATTATTTTGAATAAAAATATATTTTAGTTTAAAATAGCGTCAAAATAATATGATTACTACTTGTCACAACGTATCCTCAATGTGGAAATTACTATTTTTTTGCGAAAGTTTACAATTTAAAACAAAATACTTTGATATTAATCTAAAAGTTGAAATTTTTACTGAAGTTTGATATCATAGCGATCTATAATGTATGCAATAATCAGATTATTATCTGGTCCCCAACAGTACAGTTTAAATTTGGAAAAAATTTCAAATTTCCAATTTTTAAGAGGGTGTAATTTTTAAGGGGTATATTACTTACCAATGATAGTTCTGTACTGTGGAGATTAAAAACTGGGTGTTTAGTTACCTTAACTTGATCAAGCAACAGTATTAAGAATGTTGATTCCTTCACAGTCTACTTCTAAATGTTTGCCTGTATTCGCTACTTTTAAATCACGGAGGATGGACTAAGACATTTCCTTACAAAACTATAAATCTTAATTTCGATTTTTTGTGTGCAATAAACGTTATTTTTACAAGAGTCTGTATTGCTTTAATGAGATTTCAGTATCTGAATGTTATTAAAAAATGAATAATGTATCCACAAAAATATTATTAAATTTACTATTATAGACTACATTATATAAATATAGTTATATTAATACATGTCCAAGTATTAGGATTAATGACCATCTGTGGACCCATTGACTTTTCTTCCTAGTTTCCAAGAAGTAAATGTTCAACTCCGACATTGCCCTTCTCGTTATATATTCCGAACGTTAGATACAGATCTTACCTTGCGCCAGTTTGCTCTTGCAGATTTTGCCAACCGCCTCAAATAAAATCCCGACAGCTGTCTTCCAATCGTGCCACGAATTCGAGATGAACGATGCCTTTCGAGCCCCAACTTCGAAGTACTTGACTTGCACAGTCCACGCCACTGACTATTCGCGCACTGTGTCACTCGCCTGTTTGCACGTGCTGCCGCTGGGAGGCAGGCCCGAGACCACGTGACTATTCGTCCTTCACAGAAGTCGCCAAGTCTACCCTTCAGTGGAGGGAAGGGTGGGCGACACCTCGGGCATTGCTTTGGCACCGCAGCAGCTCGCCCTATTGCAGTGAGTGTATCCAGTGACCGCGAGTGCCAGGCAGAGAGCGTGGGTGATCCGGGCCAGTGGTGTTCTTTTCAGGTGGCAAAGGGGAAGAGTTGTGTGATCGACCATGGCGGATGTTATTGCGAAATCTCACGAGCTGCTTCTGCGAATTTCAAGGTGAGAGCTAGAATTTAATGACTAAAAAGTAAAAATGGTTTCGAAACGTACCCAATAGTAGTATATTACATTCGTCAAATTGTTAAAAATAGTACAGAAAGTGCTAGGAATATTTTTGATTCCTTTGCAAGTAGCATTAGCATTTGCATATTTTAATTCGTAAGCAAATTCAGACATTGAAAATTACTGCTGTTAATCAATTCAAAATAAATGAGTGCTTTTTAAACAATTTTTCTTTATTTCGTCGTACATTGTTAGAGCGAACGTAAAACGCATTCAACTTTATGCAGCGACATGTTTTGTCAGAATGTATTTGTCGAAAGCACTAAAGTAGATACTTATTCATTCGTAATTAGTAATGTTTCATGAATTGGTGACTACCTTGCTAATCAGTTTTTCGTGAACGTCATGAAAATTGTCTTGGGTCAGAATTTATTCAATGACCCAATGTATGTATTAATAATTACATCGACATGTCAGTGTCCTCTGATAACGAAGTCAATTACATGAACGTAGCATCACAATCCCTAATAAACCACAAATTCTGTATGTTATTATGGTAGTAAAATTGCTTCGGTCCCCCCCTGTTTAGGAGGCCCAAATAATTTTGGCTCTTATCACTTATTGTAACGAACGAGACAGAATCATCTCTCTTCGAGAGAACATGGCGAATGACACCTCCGTGCCGCGCTTGCGAGAGCGGAATGGCGTCAAATTAATAAAAGCCAAATTATAAAGGCGCAGTGACGCTTTGCTACGCGAGTCCAATGTCACGGTGACTCCGACCTACGCTATTAACAACAATAGATCCGTGGCTCTATTTAACACATTTGATGCCAAAAGTAAGTGAGCGGAGACCCGTTTCCCGACAGTCGTGCTTCACTGTCGTTCACAGATCGCGTAGTCGGATTCGACTCGTTGCGCGGGATAAGACCACCTAGATATCAGTTCATAAATTGCAAAACTAGTTGTTACATTTTAAAAATTAAAAGGTTATAATTTATTTTCATAAACATTTGGATTACAAATGATCAACGCTTCCGCCTTGTGCTTTCAATAAGATAGTGTTTCCGACCTAGAATAGGCCTATCGTGAAATACAGGTCAGAAACAATTCATGTGCCTGAAATACACCGATACATGACTATGTGAGGAGGATCGCATTCAGATTTTATATAATTTCTGGAAATGTCGGGGAAAATGCATATGTAGGAAGTCTCATGAAATGCCTGGACATCTTTCTCCCCATGTTAATTGGTTTCTGCTCAATTGATAGAGTCGTGAAATTTAAAAATTCAACTCAATGTATTGCCGTTAAAATGTATTGCAGTGTTGATTTTGATTGATTGTGACGTATGGGGGAGAAGTACCATTTGTGCACGTTGTCTTGAGCTTCAGAATCTATTCCCAACATTTTTAACTATATAGTTTAATGATGAAAGTCTGAAGAAGCGAGTTTAGCAATTCAGTATTCATTACACATATTACATTATTTCATTGTTTTATCACATTTGTAAATATTTATTTTTAATTATTTAAAAGAGAAATATAGACCATTCAGGTTGTGTCAACCGAACAGTTTTCTAAATGATATAAGAAATGCATATTGTCTAGTGTGTCAATAATGGCTGGAACTTGTTTCTTTTTACCTGTTGTAGGTTTGATCGATTGCCACTCAGAATTTAAAATGTATTATATTGAAAATGCGTGAAATTCACGTGGGACAAGTGCAGTTGACATTTCATTTTGTCCGAATAATATCGGTCTGCTTGACAGCTGTGTGGGGCAAAGCAATGTTGCCACTTACTCGTGCGGTAAACACTCGCATTAGATTACAACAGTAGCAGTAGCAATAAACAAATCGCAATAAGAACACATACCAGTCAGAGAGCATACATCAGATACCAGCAAGCGATCCAGAACTACACACACGATGCATTGCCAAAGAAGTGAAGGCGCTCTTGAATTTTCAGTGGCTTTGTGCTTTTATATTTCTTAATAAGTATCGGCAATTCTGCAGTGACATCAATTTGAAGCTTCTGATTGGATATCGGAACACTCTCTCCCCTGTCAGCCGCGAACTGTCGAGTAGACGTATTCGGACAATAGATTTTCAAATTTAATAAGATCTGTAACATCGTTGAACGTTCTACAGAATTAAAAATTCCCCTCTTGATTAGTGATAAAAACGACCCGAATTCCATTTTTCTCTCCTTGGGTGGAATTTTGCAAAATGCATTTTCTTCCCTTGAACGGAAGCATTTGCCTCCGCCGTTGGGGCTTTTCCGCCAATGTGGCATCACTGTTGGATGTAGTACACCCAACTTGGCGCTAGTGTTTGCCGTAATTTGCAGGGAGTCTATATGAAAATGGCCATGGTTGTCATGTATAGCGTTTAAGTTTTGTTAGTTGAGAAATTGTAATCACTAATTACTTATTCAGCATGATTACCAGGGTATAACACTGCACGTGATTTGTTTTTAGTTTAAGAGGATTTACTACGAGTACACTCAAATGTTAATTACCACCCATAGTTTGAACTTTGTATACAAAATATATTATAATGTGATATTATTTAAAATTATTTGTTTCTGCAACTATTAGTTCATGAAACAGTTTTATGTGGATATTTGACCTATTATAAAGTGCTTCAAACACTGAATTTGTTCATTGGTTTCATTTGTTCTCAACCCGCCAGTTTAATATTCGTAGATGTGATGTATAATCGAAATTGTCATCATTCGTAGGCCACACACAAACGACGAAGAGAGACCAATATTTAATGATTTTTGTGTATAGATAAAAGAAACCATCGCACCAACACCCAATCTGGAGATTCGAGATTTGCGTTGGTGTAGAAATATAAGTGGAAACATTCACAGGAATTTAAAAAATAAAACGCGTAAAGATACATGTATAGAGTTCTTGCTGTAAATGTAATGCTGTAATGCTTGCTGTAATGCTGTTGCTGTAATATGCCATGTTAGATATGAAGAGAAATCTGCATCAAAACAGACCTGACTTGACCACTTTCATGATCAGAATTATTTGAAAGACACAAAATTGTTTCTTGTAAAATTATTGATACAGTATTGACTCAGATGGAATATCAGTTTCAAGATTTTGAAAACTTTAATTTTGTTGAATTTCTTGACGAAAAGCTTTCCATTTACAAAGCGTGCTTTCCTTAAAGCAAGTTGTATTTCCTAATAAAACAATGTCCATTCTTTGACAGTGAGCAGCTTCGAAATGAATTGACAAATGTATACATTGCGAATGCAAAATACATGCCTGCAGATTTGTTTCTGAAGTATTTGTTGGACAAATTGCCTAGAAAAAAATAACAAAAGACTGATCGGTTGATCCAACTCGGTTATTTCCTGTATCTACATCATTATATAGAAGGAATATGATTACATTAAAGAGTGTGAAGACATTCCTGAGAAATTTCATGGGAAATGTCAGGATCAGCAATTTCTGTGCACTGGCTATCGAGAAGTAACTACTAAATTAATACCCAACTGCAAGACTGTAGCTTCGCCACTAATATTTATTATCGAAGACTAATGAAATGAGGGAAGCTTACAAATTTGGGAACAATACTATCACTATTCCCTGTGAACAGGGCTGCATATGTTTCTGAAAATGTAATAGAAATGCCACGTTTACCAAAATCTGTACAAGAATGTTCTAAAGGAACTATGGCAAAAAAGTCCATCATAACTTCAAAACATAATGTACTGAATTTTGTGAAAGGTCTCATTTCAGATGACTACTAGATATCGCGTTTACTTATTATTTTGAAGTTCTATTACGTTTTTATAACATTCTCAAACCACGAACTGGCGTCTAACGTGAAGTAATATCCCGTTAACTTGGTCAGAACGGTCCTCAGTTGCAGTCAGTCATTGTCTTTTACCCCTTTGACCAGCGGCGGCTTCCCAGACAGTCACCCATCCAGGAACCCGGGGTCTCTCGAGTTTTCTTTCCACCGTGGGCGTGGTTAAGCAATACGGCCACCGTTGCCGGATTCCACTCACTGATCTTTGCATTCAATATTATGCGTGCGTGTTTGCTCGAAGACATGATGATTGCTAAGATCGATTACGACTCGTGGAATGAAAGTATGAACAAGCGATGACATATACGCGTTCATTCTCTTATTTTCAAGATAATAAAGTTTAGTGTTTATTCTCTAAAATAGGATAAGAAGAACGGATGGTAACAAATCTAGGACCCTCTACCTTTCATTAAAAATCAGAGTTTGGTTGACTACAAACCTCAAACGTCTTTCTAAACGAAAGCTCGGTGTTCTAAACATACAGGTTGCCTTATGTGCACAAGATAAAATAATTGGAATGAAATATCTCCAGAAAGTTACATTGACGTGGGATGGGGCGTATTTATTTATTTTATTTATTTAGTTATTTAAACTAAAAAGAAAAGTGTCTTAAAAAGATGGTATGATGTACGTTAGATGCAATTACTTTACTGCATCGTCCCGCACGCTTAAGCCGTAAACTTTTTTTTCAAGTTGAGTAAGCGTTGAATTTTATAGTAGTACTTTTCTTACAGGAATACAAAGTTCATGAATTTCTTCAGATCTATTTTCCTGATGAATGTGTCGATATCTGATTTCCTGACCATTTTTACTGGTTAGCCCGAGTACTATGTAGCTACCCTCAGGATACATTCTATTGCTCTCAAGTACCTCCTTTTGTCGGTTTGATCGAATATTTTTTTCTTCTTATATTCTTCTCTTTACGAATTTTTGCTTTCATATTTTTACCTTCTTTCATTGTCTGTGTTCGATGAGATACTTAATATGAGATACTTAACAAGTTGCTGTTTGGAGACTGTCGCGAAGTTTTCAGCGCCTTCGCTCTACCGTGTAATCCTCATTAACGACACTGATGCTGCATAGTTTCACCCGTACACTTTTCATGGGACATTTGATGCTCTTCAATGCTCTTATCACACAGTAATTGCTAATTGATTCAGATTTAATTAACTACTAATTAACTAGATGTTAGCTTCACTCGGATTGTCTTTTCATATTTCCTTTCGTAATTCCCTCTCACATAAAATGAATTCCTTCCATAAGAGCATCATTCAATTGTTTTCATTTTTTCCTCGAAACCACGATTCTTGCGTTCCAGGAAGTCGAGCAGTGTCCGTATATCGAGCTCCGTATCGGAAGCAACAGCAAGCAAAAACGTTCCAGTAAAAAAGAATAGTATTACTGTCTACGAATAGAGGCGAGAAAAATACTTCTCGTTTTTTCTAGGAATCCAAAATGTGTTTTTCTGTCTAAAAATCTGCAATTGTTCCTGCAGCATTACATAACGCGAGAAAGTAACTAGTGACAGCACTTACCTTCTCCCCCGTATTTTCACGCAAAATTACGAAAAAACTGACATTTTCGAAAAATTGTATATGAACTTATTTTAAAATCTATCTTTAAGGAACAATTTCATCACGGGAAAGTCTCTTCTTTAATATTTTAGTTGTAGGTAGGATCCGAACAAATTCTGAACTTTTGCAGTTTTTGAAAAAATCTGGGTTGTTAACGAACGTGTGATTTGCATCACTATTTTAAACGTCCTTCACGCAACATCCAACAACAAAATTTAATGAAAAACAATGAAGCCATTTTTTTGAAAATTTGGAAAGTGATCTACACCCATAATGTAAAGTATCTCCCAAAACAAAACTATCGGTTTTTAATGAAAGGGTTCACGACATCAACCAGATCGATTGAGGAACATCGATTTTGGAGGAAATCAGCTTAACAATTTTAGCCGCTAGTGTTGTACATATAAACACGGGCAGACGTTTTGCCATCATTCGACTTTTAGGTATAAAGGGCAGACAAAACATGCATTCTGGCTACACCGCGTGATAGAGATTTTTTCCCCTCCAAATTTAGCTTCTGGTTTTATCCACTTTTTTGTTTCCAGAGCCGTGAAACAAGAATTTTTCCGCGGAAAATTCGATTTCTTTTTTTCGCAGCATTACACAACTTTCTCTCTACTTCGTAGGCAGAAAGAAAAAAATCACTAAGTGATGGGTATGTGGAGAGCTGAGTTCCAACCTCAGGTTCGCGACGCAACTTAAGGCTAAATGCACCGAAAAATACTTGTAGGAAAATTCAATAGATCGCAGCACTATTACAGGGAAATTTACTTTACTGATAACGTCTGAATTAATGGTCCGATTTTCGATTTGTAAACAGCATTTGACGCCTTTTTAAAATAGAATTTAGGCTACGATGACCTTTTTTCCAAAAATCTAACAAATACGAGAATTTGAAATTAGTTCTCAAACTTCCGAGAACAAATTTAAAAATGTGGCCTTATAGCGCGATGGCGACATGCTTCCTGAATCCAACGCCGTGACAATCATGCAAATCGGACGAATAGGAGCGTCGTAAAGTAAAATTTACGAAAACACCTCGCCCCCCCCCCTCTTCCCCTTCTGCACCGTTGCGTCACCCACCCGCCCGTTGTGGGCCCTCTGTCAACGCGGTGGCACGGCCAGGCCTGGCGTCGTGCGGCCAGCCCCGAAGGAGGAGGCGGTACTTGCGAGACACGCAAGCCACACACTCGGTTTATGCGTTCGTCACTTTGCATCTCAATCTATTCCACGGATATCAAACTAGAGATTCTATACTACTATTACAGACAGAGGTAGACGGTCTGTAACAGTAGTACATAACTACCTTTTTCACATAATTCCGACTTCCTTCGAATACCATTTTAAAATTTTTTGATACATTACTCAAAATATTGATTCCGATTTTTAACTATTTTAAAAAAAGAAACTAATTGTGTAAATATCCGCATTATTCCATCTCCTCACATCTTATTTTACATATATTTTACTTCTAAGGTATTCTGTTATCACTCCACCTTGGTCTAAGATCTTCCGTTGTCAAATACCGTAAAAAATGAGCGGAGTATACGCACGAGCTCTTTTATCCTACAACTCGATTTTTGATCTCAAAACATCGTTTATCTGCTTTAAAGAGTTCATTTGGTGAATCTCTTTTCCCAAGTAAAATTGTCGAAACTAATCTTAAAAATGTTTTCGTACTTTCGAACAAATTTTTAAAAAATGCATTATCATAGCTGTTCGCACCCGGTGTCCGCGGGTGACATCGCGTCGAAGACTGTTTTCCCGACGTTTCGACCATTTTGTCGCGATCTTCCTCAGAGCGGGTATGCCCATACATAAGATGGCATGGACATGGTAAGACCACGACAAATTGGTCGAAACGTCGGCAACAATCTTCGGCCCCAGCCAGTCGATCAAGTGGAGGATCGACCCAGCAAGTCGATCAAGTGGGGGATCGACCCAGCAAGTCCAACAAGTGGGGGATCGGCCCAGCAAGTCGATCAAGTGGGTGATCGACCCAACAAGTCGATCAAGTGGAGGATCGACCCAGCATGTCGATCAAGTGGGGGATCGACCCAGCATGTCGATGAAGTGGGGGATCGACCCAGCATGTCGATCAAGTGGGGGATCGGCGCAGCAAGTCGCTCAAGTGGGGGATCGACCCGGCAAGTCGATCTGACTATCCTGAGTATTATAACTATTTTGACTATTGTGAATATTTTGACAAATTTGTCAGTCAGTCAGTCAGTCCTTCCGCCAGTCCGTCCTTCAGTCCATCCGTCAGTCAGTCCGTTAAGACGTTCGTCCGTCTGGCCATTCGTCCGTCAGGCCGTCTGTCCGTCCGTCAGGCCGACTGTCCGTCCGTCAGGCCGGCTGTCCGTCCGTCAGATTATTTATAGCTACCCAAAAGTTCTCACTGTTCGCCTTTTTGCATCTGAAGATAACATGCTGGAAAATGTGCGGGACATTCCTAAACGACCGAAACGTGATTGCGTGATATTTATGAACTTTCATACAAAAATAATTTTGATGCTAAAAGATAAGATAATTTACAAATTCTGTTTATTAATTTCACAAAGGATATTATTTCAACATTTCAAATACAAAGACCAAAGTGATGGCATTAACGGAAAAACGCTATACGCACTTCTTGAAAAGTAGGACCAGTGGCCAGTTGGTCATTTTAAATATTTTAAAAATAATATAACCTGTTTAACAGAGGTAGATCTAGATGAAAAAAATCCAAAAGTTCCAGAAAATATACTGCTTGCTCGACTGCAAGGGAGAAGGTATAATCACGCTGGCACCAGGATTTCTGCGACATCGGTATATTGTAGAGTTCCATGGTTCGATAGTTATATAATGACACGGTCTGTACACGGAGCAAACGGTTGGGAAGTGCAGGTGTTGCGGTTCACGTGCCTGAGAGCGGGCGTTAGTCTGGGTGCAGCTCTCGGAATGCACCTAGCAAGCGGAATTCGTTGTACACGCCCAAAACAAATTAACGAATGTGCTTGCCGACCGGCCATGCTCCAGCGCGGGAGGCACTGCCACGTGAACTAGCAGTATATAAGTTAGCGGCGAAAATCGCTTGGCGGGATTCCATAACCAATGATACCTTTGTGCTGATACTCATTTGTCCACCCATGCGGTTGTGCTCGCAAGCCTCGACTATGCGAGTTGTTTCTCCCGCCATAGGACTACAGGCCAGAAGCGCGATGCGAAATAAGATGAAAATTAATTGTTCAAGCAATCAATGGCAAAATACTATCTTTCTGACTTCAGGGAGTGAAGGGAGGAATGACTTCGACACATGGGACTGACACGCATTCTAAAGCAAGCGTTTATTTGTAGAACGCGAGGTAGAAGACACAGAGGCAGATCGTTATAGAAATAAAATTGGTAGAAGTCAGAACAGGTCATGAACCCATCCTTGGAGTAAAGGAGAAGATGATCATGAGGGTGTCAACTCTGTTATTTGTTAATACGAACATAACTGCGTCATCGCAGGCCAGTACCCATAAAGTTAAAAAAAGGATACTTTTATTTTTTAATTGCTGAATTATTTGCAGAGCTAAAAATTAATCTTCGACGTAGCACCTGCTTTAACCGTCGGGCCTGGCCATGCCACCGCGCTGACAAAGGGCCCACAACGGGCGGGTGGGTGTCGCAACGGCGCAGAAGGGGAAGTGGGGGGGGGGAGGTGATTTCGTAAATTTCACTTTACGACGCTCCTATTCGTCCGATTTGCATGATTGTCACGGCGTTGGATTCAGGAAGCATGTCGTCATCGCGCTATAAGGCCTCATTTTTAAATTTGTTCTCGGAAGTTTGAGAACTAATTTCAAATTAGCGTTTTTGTTAGATTTTTGGAAAAAGGTTATCGTAGCGTAAATTCTTTTTTATAAAGGCGCCAAATGCTGTTTACAGATCGAAAATCGAACCATTGGTTCAGACGTTATCGGAGAAGTAAATTTTACTTATTTTGGTGCTGCCACGTGGTGGCTACAAATTGTATTAGTGTCGGGACATTTAGCCTTAAACACTCTTGCATCTCTGAGACAGGTCTATAACTGCTATCTCTGAAGCTGATACTTTACCGTGGCAGAAGTGATGTCAGAAAGGCAAGGTATAAAAGCAAGGAAGGCTTCGTTAATCACGTTAGGTCACTTTCATATCCCCGGGCTTCAGCGCGGTCAACGACGGGTTAATATAATTCATCTCCCTGCTACAGAAAT